AGTTGTATATTTTTTATATAAATAAATATATTGGATATGTTTTCCGTCTTGCAATCAAAATTGAAAATGATTCAAATTACAGGGTATGTACATAAAAATTGAATCCGTTTTGCATTGCCATTTACTTAATTTTAATTAAAATTGTCCAAAAAAGGATTCGGGAAGCCTTGCAGTTGCCCAAATGCGTTCATGTGTTAAAAAATGTGCATAAATTATTGAATTAGTGCGTTTGCAACAAATTTCTCGCGTTCCCGATTGCCCTCGCTGCGTTGGCAGTTGGCTGCTTTCTCGCTGTCTCTTTCTCTCGTTGCCTCTGTTCGCTGAGCCAATTTTCATGCTGTGCGCTATTAATATGAAATTTTAAAGCATAAATTAAGGCGCCAGAGCCACACTTGCTTATAATTTATGCATGGCGTTGACTTTGGTTCGGTTCGGTTCGGTTTGGTTTGGCTTGGTTTGGCTTTCATTTATTTATTTATAACACTCGCCGCCAACTGCCAAAGGGCTGCGGCAATTAGTTCCAAGCTCCTTGGGGATGTTTTAATTATCGTATTGTATTTTTCGTTTTTTTTTTTTTCGTTATTCCATTATTGTATTTGTTACTGCTGCTGTGCGATTTATGCGAACGATTTAATAATGCAAATTAATTCAAGCGTTTCCTTTCTCTTTTTCGGATCTTTTTATTTTTGCTTTTTTTCAGTGGCTTTATCATTTGGGCGGCTTTTGTTTTTTGGTTGGGTTAGGTTTACAGCAGTGATTTGATTTATTTGTATTTTTGAGGTGGGCGTGGCGCAATTGATTTATACGCGTAATGTACAGAGCTGGGCACTGAGAGTGTGTATAGATTTGTAAAGAGCTTAAATGCTTATTGAGAGGTAAATACGTTTCATATATATGTATATGTGTGTATATTTATACATAAATATACGACGTGAAATTCAAATATAAAATAAGTATTTATCTTCTTCAAGCTAATAATATAATTCCATTATAGAAAACGTGATAATACAACTTAATAAATCAAAAACCACAGTTTTTCAGTAGAAAGTCTATTTTTGTACTACTTGCAATTGTGTGTTTGGTCACAGCTCTCAATTGTTATCAGAAAACCTTCCGTTAACTCTTATCAATATTTCAGTTCCCTGGAAGTTAGTAAGCAGTCAAGTGATATTTAATAGTATTACAAAATCTTTTACTAAATTTTGTCAAGTCTTATCTATATTGAATGCAAAAGGTTAACCCCCCCACATCCCTAGAGATTTATAACACTAGTGCTTATCAGTGTGATTCCCTAATATAATAATCAGAAGCATATATAAGTATGAAGCGTATTCCACATGTTCACAACAGTATTTGATTTGTTATCGAACAGTTAGCACGATGTATTCTTCGATGAAACTCTTCGCCTGTGCATTTATATTTGCCCAGATGCTGGGCACTATCCATTGCAGTTCCTACGACAATACGGATAACTGGGTAATTTCCGATAAGACGTATAATTTCCCGGAAAATGCTGTGCTCGGAGGCATCGATTCAGATGGTTACTACAGCTATGTGGGTCGCACAGATTACGCTAGCTCAGTGCTGCCAGCACGTGTTAGAGCCGAGACTGGATACGCTACCTTTAACAACGATTCATTGGGTAAGCGGGCCCCCTACTACGAGCTGTTGGTATCCAATGCGACCCTCACCTATCACTGGGTGCGCAGCTACGATGGGTTTAGAGAGAAGCATGCTGTATCTGTTGGCACAACCGTTCAAGATGAGCGCGTCTACGTTTGTCGTGCTAAGACCGATGGTGGCATTTTTATCGGCACCCTCTATTTGTCAAAGAGGCTTTGCTTCATCCGCGACGAGAGCTTCCCTCTGAGACAGTTCAGCAAGTACGAGGTGCTTGTTCGTAAAGTTACCCCAGTACAGAGGGCAGCCATCAATATTTAAATTAATTGATTGATTAATTTAAATATTGTTAAATCATAAAGAAATGAACATGAATAAATTAAATATTGATTAATTACAACATAATTTAAATCAATGGGTTCAGGGTATATAAAGAAAAGCTGAAACTAAGGGTACGAGTTTCAATTTGAAAGGAAATATTTAAAATATAGATTAAGACTGTAAGTCTAGCTTAGTAAAATATATTAAAAAATAATGATTTATGCATATTATTAATAGGTTCAGTGAGTATAAATTGTTTTTTTTCTTTTTTTTATATACGTAGCTACATATTAGGAAACTTTGGATACCATAAATTTTATTCCCTACTCGTTTCTTATATATTAAAAACTTATTTTTTCCTTAATATATTTTTCATTGTTTACTAAACTGTTAGACCGAATATTCACAAAATTTAATAAAACAGGGTAGAGTTCACAAATTTAATACAATATTAAAAATAGTTTTTCTAAATAACAACTGGTTGTCTGTTATGAATTAATAGATACTCTTAGTAGTCGTCAGCTAATATCTATATCTATGAATATATAACATTTTCATACGGCTCTACAACTATTTTTAGTATGCTATAAATTGCCGAAATAAAAAAAAAAAAGAAGGATTTGTCTACGCCCTTGCTGTCTTCAATGGCATGCGATGGTCTTTACATGATGCTCTTGCGCCAACGAGAGCAACAACACCACTAATACACTCTGCTCGTAAGTCTCGGGCATCCAGTGAACATGCCTGCTGGGCCGGGTCTGGTCTTGGTCTGGTCTTGGTCTGGTCTGGTCTGGTCTGGTCTGGTCTTGGTCTTGGTCTGCATTGGTACGTTTTGTAGCTCAAGTGCTTTGTAGTTTTGCAGTGATTTTATTAAAATTTTACTGTCATAGTAAAAGTTTTATTATGAGCACGAGTTGCTTTTGCTGTTAGTTACGTGAGCCAGAAACAATTCCCGGCGCATGCCAAAAATAATATAAACACAACCGAAAGCGACAAAAAGAGACAAAGAGCGAGAGAGAGAGAGAGCCTCACACACACGGACAGTCAGAAGTCAGGCAAGCTCATTCAGTTTATATAGCAATTATGTTGTTGTTGCCATTGCGCTGTCCAGACTTCACGCATTACGCCTAGGCATGCATATGCAACAAGCTGCAGCAGCACTGGCAGTTACATAAAAACAGCTGCATGCAGTGGAGCGTCTTTGTTTTTATGTCGAGTACCCATTGGAAGAGAGCGAAAGGGGCATGATAACCTAAGATAAAATTTGTCAACTTTCTTGAAAAGTAATTACTAGAACATTTAATTTAAAATATAATTGTATCATTTTAAATTTTTAGTAAACTTAGTAAAGAAAAAAAGTTTTTAGAAACAGATTCATATATATAATAAAAACTAATCATAATGCAATAAGCGAATTATTTTTAATATATTTGGTGCCTTAGGCTTTTGGTTAGAGCGGTATTTGGAAGTTTATGCTTTGACTATCTCTGTCTGGACAATATATCTAAAACATTTCAGTCTTGCTAAAATTCTCTTCAGATTAAATTTCGAATTTGACTCTGTTCAAACCTCAAAGTAGAATATATAAGAATAACCACAAGTCTCTACAGGTATAATGTTCCAGTATTATTCATACATTTCTTAGTTATCTGCTAGGGTATTTAGTCTTTTATCTCTACTAGCATTTCTTTGTCTAGGTTTTATTTATTTCTTTGCTCAGTGCACCACCTTCTGCTCCCAGCAGTGAGCTGACGCTGGAGTTGTGCACAGTTTATGCTGCCTGCTTTTAGGCTAATGTGCTCATTTTATGCAAGCGTCTCCCTTGCTGTATGCTTCATGCTCCCATGGTGCATGCTGCAAAGTGTGCAAAAGGATTTTTATGCTAAAGGCAGCCCGTTACCCGTTACCCAGGTTTACCCGACGGCAATGTTTCATTGTTTGTTGTTGCCGTTGTTGTTGCTGTTGCTGTGGCACACTGCCAAATGCAACAGCTTGTGTTTATAATTGAAATAATTGCGAAAAAGCAGACATAATTATATTCTTATTCTCATTGTTGTTGTTGCCTGCATTCACAACATTTTTTTGTTTTCTATATATATAGTGTATATATTTCCTTTTTTTTTTTTTTTTGCTCTGTCGCTCATCATCATCATTGTCGTCGTCTGTGGGCATAAGGGTGCGACTCAGCATCAGCCTCGAGCTGTAAGTTTATGAAGGATAGTTTTTGTGCTATCAACTCTAGCCGCGTTCTGGTTTAGTTGGGCATATTTGCTCGGGCATAAGGTATGCAACATGCTCAGACAAGTGTGGATGCGTGTATTAGAGGTGGATGTAATTAAGCTACTTGGAGAATTTGTGTTTTAAGTTTCTATTTATAAATTAACATAATATCATTGATTTGTTAGTAGATTTATAATATTGACACCTTTATAGGGAATGGTCAGTCGTTTATACTTGTACAGTTCTCTTCTTCATATAGCCTACTTAAAGGCCTTTCCCCATTTTAATTGCACAACGTGTACATCAAAAGCTGGGCTCATTTTCAAGCAATTACTTTAAGGCCTCATCACGTTGCAGACTTAATCGCTAAGCCGCCTTTGGGCGCATTAGCCGCAACAATTTTCAGTTCCGAGAAGCATTGGTGCCTAATAATCAACCCTTTTGCAGCTAAACAAATATGTTTGCTAGCGGTTGCCTAAAATGCATGCAAGACAAACACATACAAACAAACACAAACCCATATACACACACGCGTGCGCGTATTTTGGCCAGGTAACGCCACGGGGCCTTTTTTGTTGGCTGGCCAAACTTGCCAACCGAGCAGATAAACTTCAAAAAGCGCCTTGAAAAGCGGCTTAAAACTTCTTCAGGCGCAGCGGTCCTTGGTCCAAGCGAAACTCTATGACAACATTGACAAAGGCAGCGTCAGCTGTGCGAAAGACAGATAGTGAGGGAGAGAGCGAGAAAGAGGTCGAGGGAACTAAAGCAGAAATTAAGCATTGCCATGGAGGCGCCGTGTCTATGTGAGATGATTGATTGAGCTTTTAGTTAAATTGCGCAAGCGGCCAGCCCAAGCGCAAACAAGTACAAGCGAGCATCTTAGTGAAAAGTTCCATAGCCCCACCATCCCACCTCGTGGCCGCAAAATAATAATATCTCTATAATATCTTCATTGGCCCCGCCGCACTTGAAGTAAACTACGAAGTCGTTGGCAAAGCAACAGCTTCGGGCTTATGTCTGGCGTGTACCGAAAATTATTTTTACATCAGCTGCGCTGGGACTTCAATTTCCAGCCAAATACCCAGTATCTAGTTCCCTGCTCGGTTATTATAACTTGAATAGAAATTTGTGGGCAAAACTGTGATTTTACTTAAGTTTTATATGATACAACTTTGTGTTAGAAATGTTGAATGACTAAAGCTTAGATTGTGAATGTGAATGGTATTTTACATTAATTTAAGAGTTTAGGCTAATACATAGGCCTTTTCTGCTAAGATATTTATTTACATACTTGACATATGGCATATGCATAAACATCATTATTTAGTGAAAAAAAAAAAGACAAAGATATAGCAAACCCCTAGAAAATTTACTACAAACTAAATTAAATTAAATTTGTAATGGTCGTAGCAGAGTTATTGTACCTAAATAATTGCAGTGCATATCATTCGCGACAAATGTGTCGCCTGCACTGCAATGACCGCTGAGCGGCCCAAAAGCGAGCCTCGAGAGCGAGCTTTTGAGAGAAACTCTCAAAGCTTTGGGACTCAGCGGGCGAATTGCACCTATCTTCGCGTCTCACTTTCCAAGAAGAGGAAGAGAGGAGACTGGAATGGGGGACTATAAAAAGAGCCACATGGGTCAAATAGTTCTTTTCCGGCATCACGAGATCATCAAGTCAGTTTGGTTGTGCTTAAAATTTAAAGTAAAAAAAANGGTTATATAATGGGGTAGGAAGTCGTCTGATTTTTTTTAATGGGGGTTTTTACAAATTTTTAAATTAAAAACCATGGTAGGGTTGGGTGGAGAAGCGGGTGCCAATCGTCACCTAAGGCCTCGCCTCTTCATATTTTTTTTCTGGTATAGGTACAACCTCTGTGTTCGTCTTCCCCCCTTCCCCTTCACTTCGGTCCTGTGGACCATCTTTAGGGATCTTAACAATTTAAAATTTGTGTTTGGGAGATTTGAGAGATAACAAAGAACCCCCCCACACTCCCGAATGAGCTAAGGGACCAGGAGATCCCGCCCGTTATCTCTGAATCTATGGCAAGCAGTGTAGTAGCAGAATATRTAGCACGCGTCGGCCTCTATACATATATAGACCACCCGAATTCCATTACAAATTAAACACTAAACAATGTAGATCAAACGTGGAATGATAATAAATAATAAAGAATAAGTCAATAATTCATATTTTTCTTTACCAACTCTTCAGTCTTTGAAGAGTATGTCATCATTCGAATACAATATAATAACGATAGAGATTACTTTGTGTGTTACCTTTTCCCCAATTTCTGCAGAATTTTGTTGCTACTTGCTTCCTTAGTTAGTTTCGGTATTCGCTCGCGCTAAAAGTTCAACTTTGCCTCGGCTAAAAATAATAAGCGGGCGTAAAATGTACCTAATATTTATCTTGATAGGCCGCAGAGCCTCCAAGCCAACCCACACTGACTATCTTTATTTCTCTCTCTCTCTCTCTCTCTCACAAAAAACGTCAGCTGTGTTTGTCTTAAGTTTTATGCGCGTGGGCTGCCAGTAATAATCAAAAGTTTTGTTTGCCTGGCCCACGTGTGGAAGTTGGCGAGATTAGGGAGGAGTAGATCATCATCAAAATCCAATATTTGGCAGAGAAATCTATTAGTGAATTACTGGAGCAACAATGCGTCGAGCTCAGATCAAACATTTGACATTTAATTCCCCGCGCAACAACTTCATCAACTACCACATAATCCAGCAAATTTTTTAGCACTTAAATTTGTACATGACCTGAAACTTTTCTTTCATTTTTCTGTTTCTTTTTTTTGTTTTTTTTTTTTTTTTTTTTTTTTTTTTTTTTTTGGCGTTGCCTACTTCGGGACCGCTAATCCCTAAACTGTCGCAAAACTTTTGTGGCAGCAGTAACCAACAACAATAATAAAAGCAACAAAACAAAAAGGAAGAAAAAAAAATAAGTGAAGGCAAATGGAGAAAAAAGGCCAACAAAAGTTTTGCAACAGATAAAAGTGCAAAGTTTGGGGGAAAGCACAAGATAACAGCAAGAAGGAAAGGAAAGCCAGGCGAAAATTACAAACATTTTCAATTATCAAGCCAAACAAGGACGTTGACGTATTGTCTGGGCTCTCATTATGCCATTACCATCATATAATTACAGCCTGATTATTGTTTATTAAGTTAAAATGGCGCCGTAGAGTGTTGATAAATGGTCCCGTACAGAAGAGCCTTTTGTTGTCCGGGCTGTACTGTACCTGTGCGGCATCGTCCTGTCCATCAAAAATGTGAAAATGACGAGCGAGTGCTCACCTGGATGGCACTTATCAAAGGGTAGTAGGCCCTTAATTTCACATTCATTTTTCAAAAGCACCTTGCGGTAGGGGCAACATTAAAATATCGTTAGTTTCTTTTGTTTTTTATTATTGTGTGTTGTTGTTGTTCATTTTTTAAGTGTCACTGTCAACGCTCTTCTTACTAAACATTCTTGTTTGATTGAAGGCAATTAGAGGAATTGGGAATCTTTTTCGTCTCCTCCTCTTTCCTTTTTTTTTTTTTTTTAGTAAACATTTGGAGAGCAGATGATGTCTTTGTAACTGGTCCCTTGGGACTTTAAATTAATTAATCACATTAAATGCTTTGCGGGCTAGCCCCAACCCAAAGAAGTAAAAACGTTGTCAAAGCGAACTATTAAGATCAAAGATAATGCGCAAAAATAATGATGCTAAATGTTGGCACAATTATGCCTCGCTGTTTTCCACTAATGGACGCTCGCGCCGGCAGGGGCAAATGGATGAGCAAAGTGATTGAGAGTTTAGTCGTAGGCGAAGTCTGGCAAAAGACGGCATTTCAATTAATTAAATAAGCCCCTAAAATGTTGGCGCATATATGCTGATAATTATGATGTAACAAAAAACGAGGAGTGCTTTGGGAGTTCGGGAACTCATTTTGGAAATGCCCACAATATTTAAATGAAATGTTTTTTAAGTCAATTGAAAAATCTTTTGAAAAAAAGTATCACTAAAAATTGACTCAAACAAAAAATACACTTAATTCACTTATTTCTGACAACTTTTCAAGTTAACCCCTTTAGATTATTTTGCAGCTGATTTAAATAAGTTAGTTGTGTCTGCTCTGTTCTCGACCTAAATAAATCAGTGTAGTCGTGCAGAATTTTCTTTTGAAAACAACATAATATAAAAAAAACGAAAATAATGAAAGAAATTCAAAACTTTATCCCATTTGGGTTAGAAGCCACTGTGAAGTTTTTCGTAAGGCAACTGAAACAGAAACGACGAAATGCATTCGAGTGTTAACAAACATGAATACAATGTTGGATGCCGTCTAAAACCTTTTTTCTAGGCTCCGTTATCATTGGTTCATTACAGGCCCTCCCGATTTGATTTCAATTGGGAGCTGTCGGAGGAGAGTCTGTGAGCTGAAGCCATTGGGTATTACCTACGGCCTTGTCTTCAATTAGCGATAATAATATAAATGATACGAATGAGTTTTTCACATTTAACTTTTTGACAGCTTGATGGGGGTACGCTGTTACAGCCAATCGCTAATTGACAGTGGGATTGGCCTCGGGCCTGCCAACCTGCCAGCCAGGCAGTCAGGCTAATAGGCAGGCTGCCTGGCAGACAGGTCGGCAGCATTCTCGATCTGGCTTTTGCTTCGTTTGTGTATTATTTAATGGCTTCGCTTGTTTTTTAAAACCACAAGCCCAAAACTGTCAAATTGGCAGAAAACGCATCAACAGTCGGCTAAAAATATAACATTTTCAGTTCACTTAATTGTAAGCATGGTTACATTGCTGTCAACCTAAACAAAGGTACGTGACAGATTATTTTTGGTGGACATGGAATATCATCAATTTATAAATATATATTATGATTTTCTTACTATTACAGAAATTTTAACAGTCCGATTGAGTTCTTCTTAAATAATATTTATTATTTTAAGGGAATTTGTTCTTTGTTTATTTAATGTGAAAACCATAACATTTTTAGTTAATTGCAATTGCAGTGAAATTGTTTTTATAAACTTAAACAAAGTCATGCCCAACGTTTTTAGGGAAATGAAATCTAATTTAATTATTTATTTGCGTATATGTAATTTCCATACAATTATCAAAACTGGAAATAATAATATTTTTAATAAAACGAAATAAAAATCATAAATATTTTCTCGTTTTACATAAAGCAAATTATTTTGGAAAAAGATAAAATGAATAGAATTTCTTTGAAATTTTTATAAATTAATATGTAATATAATTATCCAAAATAATCCTAATATTTAATGCAATAAAATATATTATAACTCAATATTGTCGTTTGATTATTGAAGAATTTAGTACTGCTAACAATATCTGTGTCATTTTCCTCATTGTTTAATTCGTCAGGTTTCAGTTCAGATTTCACTGCAATAATTTTTGTGCTGTGCCACTGTGACTCAACTGACAACTGCAAAATGAAAACTAAACACAATTAAAACTAACGAACCTGGCAAAATTTGCACAAAATAAATTTTAGTTTAAATGTTATGAGGCTCATATTGAGCGCCTGGGGTGTGCGTATCTATGCAAGGGAAGGTCATTTGCTGCGCAAGGCTGAGGTGAGTTCGGTGCTGCTGCTGTTGCCGCTGCTACTGCATTTTCCTGTTGGTTCTAGTTGATTTAATTAAATGCATTTGAATGCAAATGCCTGAAAATGCGTAGCGCCGTCTCTCAAAACCATCAGCATATGCGGTTTACATACTCCCACATAAATGTTTTGAAATATATGCTACCGTATGCATACGAGAGAAACCCAAGTGCATACATGCACATACATACATAATATATACATATATATATACATATATATATACATGCAGTTTAGTTGTAACTAAAACAAAAACGGAAATGCTGAGCTTATGTTACTGACAGCGCCCTCTGGTGTTATTTTATGGCAAAATATATTTAGGCAGCCAGTGAGTGGGTTAGTTGGGTCCGCATGGTTCGCTCACATTTTCATAATGCTTGGCAGATTTTCATGATGTAAACGTGCTGCGGGCCACTTTTAATCAAAAATTGCAATGGTATCAACTACAAAAGCAGAACTCTAACCTCTGGCTGCTCGTCAAACCGAAGTTTTCAAATTGATTTTTTACAAAGCTAAATATCTTGACTTATTTCATCTTTTCATTGGAATGCCCAATGGAAGCAAAAGACATAGAAATAAAAAATTTTAAAATATATACAAATATGTATAAATATTNATAAAATTGAGCTTATTTACTGCGGTTGCCACAGAAATTCGTAAAGAGAGAAAGGCATTTTGATTCGGAATACTTTGCTTAAGATTTGAGCTGTAAAAGGCATTTGCGGTTGGCATTTGTAAAGGGTTTTATTATGTGTGTATTTGAGTGATTATATTTCTGCTTTATATTGATTTAAATGTGTTTATAATTAATAGTAAGGGAGTAGTTAAAGGTAGATATGAAATCTGTTAGTTGCAGCAAATTAATTCACATGTACTATTATTTTTTTTTTTATAAATATATCTAAAATTACAAAAATTTATATGAAATAAAGAACGTATAATTAGCTATGGCATGTTTAAAGCAGCAGAAAATTCAAGCAACAGTTCAATGAATTAATTTAATTCAATATGAATATTTGACAATTTCAGGCCTTGCATATGCAGAGTAAATAGAAAATTTGATTGAATATTCCTAAACTAGTTATCTACAGTAGAGCACACGCATCGTCTACACAGCGTTTGCCAGTATTGTTGGTGCGGGCAGCCTGGCATAACTAATTGAATACATAATTTACAATTAAGTACGTAAGCTACTTTAATATTTATGTCTATAAATGAACAGAGACACAGACAGACACAGAGACATTCATTCGCACACACACGCACGCACAGAGAAAATCTCAGAAAGCACGCCCAGTTTAGAGTGGGCGCTCGGTCGTCCATTATCGACCATCAGTTGTGCCAACTGCAATAAATGTCAATTATTCATGAATTTTCAATAACTTTAACCAAGGCAAAATAGAAAAGTTTCATGGCTGCCGTCGCCGTCGCCTTCGTCGTTGTCGTCTGAGCTTGAAAAACTTTTTAATAATATGTAAATATGGCCAATAGAGATAGATAGAGAGTGAGAGAGAGAGAGAGAGCCAGAGAGTGAGAGTGAGAAGAAAATGAGGCGAGACGAACAGGCGTTAACTAAGAAGCACATAAAATATGATGCCAAACAAAATGAAAAGAGAATTTACTTGAGCGACAAAGTATATAGAGAGAAAGAGAGAGAGAGAGAATGCGGGATAATAGTAGATGGTGGGCTTGGTGGAGTACAAACACGAAACGTGCTCTCAAGCATAGTTATAATGGTGAATAATTAACAGTTATTAATAATGACAAAAGCAGCTGCGACCGACGGCAACTCAAACAACTGTAGCATACTTTTTTGCTGCTGCTGCTGCTGCCCTTGCTACTTTTCCATTCATTTTGGGTTTGGGGAGATGAGGATATCGCTCTCGCCCCATTTTGTTGTTGTTGTTGGGGGCAACAGCACTTGTGCACTTTTTGATTTAAAATTCACCGCCAATAATAATAAAAATAAATCATACACCAGAGCAAAAGGCGACATAGCCCGGCATTACGTATACGCAATGTACTCCCGACTGTTGTTTTGGCGCGTGCGGTGCAAAACTTTTTTGACTCTTGCTTAATAATTTGCTATAATTTATGACTATCAAGCGCCGTTGTCGTTGTCGTCGTCGACAGTAGCTTTGGCTTTATTATTGGATTTTCGTAGCTAGCGTCGAGCA